CCCGACTCCGGACCTCTGCTCCGGAATCCCGTTTGCATCTCCATCTCCAGAACCTCCAGTCTTAGCTCCGACCTCGGATTTTGACCTCACTTCTGCTTATACCCATTGTATTGGTTACCTCATTCCATTTAATTATGTTTGCCAATATTCCAGAGTTTAACTTCCGAGTTCGGACTTTCTGGACTTACATCGGACCTTGCAACTATTGCATGCTCCATTCAATTCTGCTATACTCCCTCATTCTGGGCTGCTGCTTCCTTTCTATTCAGTCAGCTGGCCATTCCCCACTCCCATCCTCCCTCCTCCCTCCTTGGGCCTTGGCCCTTCACTCCTCCTTTGGGAAACACCATTGAGTCAAACCCTTGACCCTCGGTGCTGCCCCTCCTTTCAGCTCCCTTTGTCTCCTTTTGGAGTACCCTTGCTCCTTTTGATTCTGTACCCCTCCTTATATACAATGTACATAGTAACTTGTAACCTCAGTCCGAAATCGACCTGAAATGCCCCCAAGAGACTTCCCCTTTGCTAGATCCGAAATTAGGGACCCCTAGGACAACCAGCAATGGCACAGCACTCTGCCTGAGTTGCTGAGGCCAAGGTCCTTCCATGCTGAGTCTCTGATTCCACTCCGGAGTCATCCGAATCCACCCGTTCTAACACCATTGCTGTGTTTGGCAAATATGAGGGTGGAGAGCTTCATTTTCCTGAGCTGGAATATTCCTTTCCTTCTCATCCCAGTGACTGCTTCTTTATCAGAGGGGCTGCCTTTGAACATGATGCTGGGGGTTGGGAAGGTGATAGTAAGATGGTATTTGCAATGCTCTGTGACAAAGGTGTCTTCTAAAGACTGTGAGACTCGCCCTCAAGATCTGGAGCCCATATATGGCAAAGCCCATTCTTCATTCCAGGCTACACATTGCCCCTCATCCTTAACACCCATTTCTACTTCCACAGCTTCTGGCAGCCAGCCAATATCTAATGACCAGAGGAAGGGGAAGACAGAAAGCAGCAGGGCAGCAATGAAGAGGAAGCACTCTGTCGATGGTAGCATGGACCAGGAAACACAGTTGCCTGCTGCAAAATGTAGATGCAAACTGTAAGGATTGTTCCACTTCTCCAGATGGTTGACTTTCTCTTTTGTTTGATAACTCCTGTTCTTTTCTCCTTGTCTCATAATGGTGTTTCCACTGTCAAATAAATCAGTTTCCCTTTGCAAGCAATACTGTAAGGGAGATTGGTGTCACATCTGGGAATCCTGACCCTGGATTACCACACCACTACCACAGACATTGCTATAGGCCATCCAAGTCCATCCCACTCATCTACTTCACTTCCATTCCCACCATTGTAGGAGAAATAATGGTCACTCTATGAAACCACATCATGGAAATATGCCAGAAAATTACAAAACCCCTGTATGACAAGTAGAAATGAAAGGATAGCAGAGTTTGGATTTTAATGAATTTTAACAAATTTTATGAATTTTCATGACTACATAAACAAATGCCAAGATAGAAAATTAAGAAAAATACTTCAAGCTTAGCATCAATTAAAGCAAGAATGAGGCCAATTGGGTAAGATTTGACCATGAAACCAATCTCCATGGAAACCACTTCCCACATCCACACCCATCAGCAAGGCTGTGTCAGGGACAGTGCAGGAGAGGTGGGGGTAGCGGTGTAGCCCCTGGCGCTAGCAGCCTGGGTGGCAGTGGAGTAGTGGGAATGTATAATGGGCAACCCTCACTTGGGCTTGCATCCCTGTTCTGACTTCTTAGGCTGAAGCAGGAATGAGAAGAAGGTTACTTCTTCGGTTCTGCTTTGGCTCAGTTTATATACAAGTGGGAACGGGTCACATGAAGGTGCCACGTCAGTGTTGGAAAACCTGGAATTTCATTTTAATGCATTAAGAGGCTCTCAACACTTATTAGTCCATTCCAATGCTTGATGCAAAAATTGAATTGTAAATACCTAGACACATTGTAATGTTAAATTTCCATACCAAGATGGTCAATCATGCCATGGGCCAATGCCAGGGGCTGGAGATGTGGATATTGTACATTATGGTGTTCTGACTCAGGCAAATTAGTTGTCCAAGGGACCCGAAATACTACATGCTGGCAGATTGTCAGGGACACATCCAGGGTAGAGGGGGCCCGGGTGAGACGCCCGACACTAGAAGTCTTGTGGGGTGTGGAGCGGGCATGCGTACTGGCAGGCCTGGCTCAGGAGACAGTCCCTGGCCACTTAGACTGAAGTGGAAAAGGGTGAGAAGAAGGCTACTTCTTCAGTTCCCACTTCAGGTATGTTTATATACATGCAGCTTGGGTCACATGATGGGTGCCACGTCATCCTTGCATACAGCCATAGTCACCCGGGTGTCCCCATGGGGGATCCCAAGGGCGTCCGCTGTAAACGTGCGAGCTGGACATAGCAGGGGGTCGCCCAAGGCACCCAGGCTGGGTGTGTTGTGAGCACGCTGTGGGTGGGTCAATGGTACATTGATACAGGGAAAGGTCGTCCATGTAGAATAAAGAGAAAATAAAGAGAAAGTGAAATGAATGAAGAGGAAGTGAAATGGGGAAAGAAAGAAAGAGGAAGGGGGGAGGAGGTAGGAGAAGACTGGGTGGTGGGGTACCAGGTGAAGTGGGGCCAGGTGGGGCCAGGTCAGGCGGGTGTGCCCTGACACAGATACCAGCTGTTCAAGTGGAAAAACATGTCTGTATCAATGACATCATTAAGTAAATAGTGAAAAGCCCACTGTGGGTCAGACATAGGGGCCAAAAATGCCTGCCAAGTGAAGTCCATCACCAGCACAAAACGGGAATTTTGGGTGTTATCAAGTTGGAACAGTGTGAATCCAGTAGCTCAGTCTTGTGCTGTGTACTCGGAGAGCAAAGCCATGTGGAAGTCGGACACGAATGTGATGAGATGCTGAGAGGGTCCTACAGCTATTTCAAGTAGTGCATGGACTCAAGCAAAGGTCATACCCCCAGATATGTCCTGCATCATTATGGCATCATCTCTATGATGCCCATGGAAGATCTTGTTTGTCCATACAATTTCTTCACCCCAACTTCCATCATTGAAAGATGGATATCGGATCTTGTAGTAGTGCTGTAGAATCACCTGAAGCGAGACAATGAGAAGCCAGGATGATGACACTCATCTGATGTGCACTGCAATGAGTCAATGTACCCAATTCACCTCAGATTCATCAATGTTATGTAGTCCATATGTAATTGGTATGAAGGAAATTTCTGAACTTCAGAGTCAAACCAAGATAGCTAGGTTCACCCAGGTGGGATTGTTCAATGAATGAGATCGAGCACTTAGTGTCCTTTGAAACTCTTTGCTGATTGGTATTGGGGGTGTGTGGTTTGTCTGTGGAGCTGCTGAGTACATCAGGTATGGATGAGTCACCGGTGCTAGTGGCAGAATGTGTGATGTCTTGACAGATAAGGTCCAGGATTTGGACTCGCTGTGTTTGGGTGGTAACCTATTTCAAATGTTATTGCCAGCACAGTTTAAATGGAATGTACAAACTTCTCAGCAGTATTCTTGAAGTTGCCCACCTGAAAATTATTGCAAAAAAATTTGAGCTCCCTTTCATTTGGTTTCATGCTTGAATTTGCAGGCACTCCTTTGGCTTTGAATGATGAGAAACTATGCTGCATGATATGGAATTTCGGGAATGACCAGGATTTCTGTCCATTGACTGCCCACTTGCTTCGCATCTTCTCTTGGAGATCCTCAGATTGAAGCAGAAGTTCTCTCTTTTTGGCAAATTTAGGATCAGTAATGGGCGCAATGGAGTGAATCACACCTCAGTCAATTGCTGAAGCTCTTGGAGTGTTGCTTGTCCAAGTGAAATCCTATCGTTGTCTAGAATCTCACATTGGAATAAGATATTTATTACTGCCATGTTTTGTACACAGCATATTAGGTTGAGTAGCTCAGGATTCAATGCATGCATTGTGTCATATCCATACCTACTCAGCCACCATTCCGGTTCACCTCCAGTTTGTCCTCTCCCTCACCTCCGCCATATCCTCCAGTATACTTCTGGTCCACCTCCACCTCCAATCTCTGGTACCTTCTCCGGTACCCCTTATCCTCATCATAGAAGTTTATTAATATTTCTACCTACCCAACATTACTACAGACCTCCTAGGACCTCTACCAACCCTGCAAAGGTTTTCCCATTATCCAATAGCTGTCGCTAATCCCACCCTTCATCTACCCACTCCAGTGCTCGATAAGGTGATTCTCTCATGAGCTTGCCAACTGTCAGAGACCGGGTTGAGACAAAGGAGTGTCTCCGTGGTGGAGGGCTTTGGCCTCAGCGACTTGTGCCAGGAGCGCTGTGCCAAGTAACATGTCCGTTCCCTAACTTACTAAGCTGGCAACCAGAACTGAAAGGGGGTAAACTCTAGTCGATTTTATCACTGAAGTGTAACCTATGTACAGGTTGAGTATATATAGTTACAGTGAGGGTGGGTCTGCAAATGGCGGAGCGGAGCTAACGGGGTTAAACATTAGCCAATTGGATATTACCAACAAGTCAGGTTACAGGGTTAACGGAAAGGCAGGTGATAACCCAGAAACGGAAAGGAGGGATAGGCCCGAAGGTGGGCTCTGCAGGGCAAGTGAGTGTATTGCCCAGCAGAGGCAGGAGTGCGCTAGCGGACGTCAGAGCTGTCCAGAAGCCTTCAGGGCTCTGTACTTAGGGAGGCGTAGGTAATAAATTGAAAGGAGGGGGTGGTGACCATCGAGGGGTACTGAGGGGATTGTGGAATACAGGAGCTCCGAGGTTAGTGAAGAAGGAGCGGAGGCAGAGCGGAGGAGTCAGAGGGATTGGAAGTCGATGGCCGGGGATGGATATGACACCAACCCAGCAAGTGGGTAAGTCCATCTTGGGTTTTCCCTTTCTTCTTATTTGTCTTGTATTATGTATATAAGTCATGTATCGTAGTTGATGGCACTTCAGTGCAAAATCGATGACTAGATCCCCCCAGAGTTTGTGCCCCCTTGTTCTGAAGTTAAGGACCCAACACTAGCGAACGTAGGCACAGCACTCCTCTCCAAGTCGCTGAGGCCACAGTCCCTCTGCTTGTCCTCTACCTCCAGCCTCCCTTCCAGGGAAAGGTCCAGACATGCTTGTTCCCTCCTTGCCATGTTCTGACACATTGCATGCAAGATGACCTATGATTCTGATGAGCAAATACTAAATGCGATATAGAAACTAATTCCTTACCTGGAGAATATGGTCCTTTGCAGTTCCACCATTGAAACTCTGGCTAAGGATGCCTGAGGGGAATGAATTGAGGCCCTTCCATCGTGGGAGTGATGATAACCTAATAGAGAAGATTGAGAGGTGGAATGAATTTGGGGGTAATTTAAACTTACATCATTTCAAACTGCCCAACAATGTCCCTTCCAAGGAGAGGGACAACGCCTCTGATCATTGCAAACATATGGTCCCCCCAGATGCCCTCAAGCCATGTATGCAAAACATTGAATGTAACGGACCAATGGGGGTCACAGTTGGGTAGAGCTGAAAAGCACTCTTCCACCCATGAGTTGAGCCAACAATTACAATTCTAAGAGTACAGACCTTACCTCGTGTGATCTGAGTCCCTGTGACTTCAGAAGTTCCCCTGCACCCCCCCTACTTGCCATAGTTGCAGCTGAATTAATAATGTTGCATGTTTGAACCTTTGAGTGTCTCTCAAAGACCAGATCAAGCCAGTCTAACCTATCCCTGGGTATAAGACAGATGGGACATGGCATCATCAATCGACTGCCCTGCATTGCAAACATACTCCATCTGTAATAGTTAAATCGGCAGGACTATTAACAAGATAGTATAACTCACATTTCTTGGTTGTCTGCATTTAGTCCAAAGGGGAAAATCTGCCTCATTATCCCATCTGCACACACTACATTTTTCCCATATGTGCCTGGTCGATGCAGTGATTGGAGTATTTCAGCCATGGCCCATTGATAAATCTGTGCCTGGAACTCAGCCCAATGGCTGTCATGGCTTTCAGCACCATTTGCATGAATCTCATTAGAATTAATTAGAGAAAAATTAGAGGAAAAATGGTTTAAGTGTGTGTACATCTGGCAGCCACCAAACCAAGCATCCACCACCAACTCCTTGAGTGTTATTGAGGGAGATTTGCTGGTCATGCAATAACTGGGCAACCATTGATGGAGCCAAAGGAGGAGAGTTTTGATTTGTTGGCATAGATTATGCCAAGTGGACAGTTGTTGATTCCATTTGTACTTTTAGGGATAGTGTCCTGTTAGCTAGCTAGAATACACTAGGGGAAAAAATACCCGGGCAGCCCAAAAGTCATCTCCTGTCCATGGCTCCCCAAAGCGCCATACCCACGAGCTGTCATATCCCGGAATCCCGACCCCGCGCACTCCCACCACACCACACCTTCCTAACAACTTCACCATCCCCTACACCATGCCTCCCCACTCCCCAAGTCACCTTCCCTCCTGACTGTCTTGGCTCCAGTCTGGTTGCGGCACACCGAACCTTGGCCACTCCCATCCTGGAAGCTCGGTCCCGAGTCAGAACATTCGGAGACCCCGGATTTGCTCCGATATCCCGACGGACCTCCAACATCCCGTGACATGCCCTTAAACCATTCCTCCACCCATTTCATTTATTTGAGTCACCTAACATCCTTCGGATACGCAACTCCGCTTTCGGAGCTACCCACATCCTTCGGTGATCTCCCTCATGTTATCACTTATTAGTCACCTTCCATTCTTAGCACAACTACCTTCTTACTACCATTCAGTCGGTTAACCCCCTTTACCCATTTGTCTTCCCTATTCATTTTCCGGCCTCCAACTCCGCCCTCCTTGGCCCGACACCTCGGTTCCCCGTTTTAAATATCATTCGGGACCTTTCGGTACCTCTCAGTATCATTCAGCACCTTTCGGTGTTGTCCCATTTGTCATTTCAGACTTTGACTAAGTCCTCCCCATTCTCCTTTATAAATACCCGTGGATTAGAACCTGTAGTTCCTCAGTTCTAATCTCGACTAAAATGCCACCCAAAGTCCCTCTGAGTGAATCCCATTCCTGTTCTACAAGATACCTCAGACATAAGAAATACAAGGACTGACTGAGACGTAACGGAGGCACAGCGCTCCCTCCGAGTTCTGAGGCCGCATCCTTCTTAGAGCCTCTTGTACCACCCAGCAGAACCGGGCTCCCTGAGAAGCTTCGGTTCACTACCGGAGCCCTCGGACCCTCCTCTAGTTGAGCCCTGCCTGCATTCGGACTCATGCATTTACCCCCTTTTGAACTTGGGTTTTTGACACGAGCCATCCAGATGCCTGAAGTCATGCTGCTCTGGGTGCCAATGAACCAGTGGACATATGAAGCAGTCTTGCAACAACTCCACCACCCAGTCAAAGATTGATTTGTGGAACACTTTGACTTTTCTGTAGAGGGTTTGTGTCATATCCATACAACCCCAACCTCTGCTCTGGGCTCCCAGAACTCCAAAACTGACTCCAGAGCCCTACTTCCCTTCCATCACCTTCTCCTTGCCGACTCCCAAGAGGTTATCCCACCTCCGGCTCCGACACCACCTTCAGTCCAACTCCAGAACATTCTGGGTCCGACCTCAACCTCGACACCTTCCAGACAAGCATGCAACACCTATGCTCCTGACTCCAGACCTCCTCCACTCTGGAATCCCATTTGCATCTCTGTCTCCAGTCTTAGCTCTGACCTTGGACTTTGACCCCACCTCCACTTATACCCATTGTATTGGTTAGCTGATTCCATTTAATTACCATTGCCAATATTCTGGAGCTTAACTTCCGAGTTCGGACTTTCTGGACTTACTTCAGACCTTGCAACTATTGCATTGTCCCATTCAATTCTGCTATTCTCCCTCATTCCTATTTGGGCTGCTGCTTCCTTTCTATTCAGTCAGCTAGCCATTCCCCACTCCCTTCTTCCTTCCTTCCTCCTTGGGCCTTGGCCCTTCACTCCTCCATTGGGAAACACCATTGAGTCAAACCCTTGACCCTCGGTGTTGTTCCTCCTTCCAGCCTCCTTTGTCTCCTTTCGGAGTACCCTTGCTCCTTTTGATTCCAGACCCCTCCTTATATACAATGTACATAGTAACTTGTATCCTCGGTCTGAAATCGACTTGATTCCCCCCTAAGAGACTTCCCCTCTGCTAGATCTGTAATTAGGGACCCCCAGGACAACCAGCAATAGCACAGCACTCCGCATGAGTTGCTGAGGCCAAGGTCCTTCCATGCTAAGTCTCTCATTCCATTCCGGAGTTGTATCTAACAGTTTGCAGTTGATGTTTGATGGTGACCATCCCAAACTTGATGAGACATTAGCTACAACTACCAATAATTGTACTAGCATTGCACTTATGGCCATTGAGGCATTGGATGCTTCCCAGATCTTGCATTTCAAACTTAGCCTTGTTGAATTTCAAGGGACTTCCCTTGACCATTACAACTTTTATATTAGATATAAACTAGTCATATGACATGTAAAGGCAAATGCTGAAAGAGGTTTTCCTTATCGAATACATAACCCACAAAACCTTGTACCACGATTGTAACTGCCTCACCATTGTGCCACCACTGTAAGCCTTCTCTGTAACATCTGACTTGGTCCATATCGATGTCTACATCGATATTCTTACAATCTGTGAGAAAACCTCAACAGCCCAGTGAGTGCTCAGACACTGGACCTTGCCCTTCCTGCTCCCACCCCCCCCCACTGGGTGATTCCTACCCTTCCTGTAGTACCCTACTGGGTCCTACAACCCTTCCTCCCTTCTTGGGAGGGAGAAGTGACTCGGGCAGCCCCAGGATGCCTGGCCACGTACCCGTGGGCTCAAATTCCCACGGTCACTCACTACCGTGCACTGGTCAACCAACTTGCCTGTCCCAACATATCCCACTACCGATACGCTTGTTAGAACGTGCGGATTTGGACGACTCCGGAATGGAATCGGAGACTTAGCGTGGAAGGACCTCGGCCTCAGCGACTCAAGCAGAGCGCTGTGCCATTGCTGGTTGTCCTAGGGGTCCCTAATTTCGGATCTAGCAGAGGGAAAGTCTCTTGGGGGGAATTCATGTCAATTTCGGACTGAGGTTACAAGTTACTAGGTACATTGTATATAAGGAGGGGTCCGGAATCAAAAGGAACAAGGGTAGGACAAAAGGAGACAAAGGGAGATGGAAAGAGGAACAACACCGAGGGTCAAGGGTTTGACTCAATGGTGTTTCCCAAAGGAGGAGTGAAGGGCCAAGGCCCAAGGAGGAAGGAAGGAGGTTGGGAGTGGGGAATGGCTAGCTGACTGAATAGAAAGGAAGCAGCAGCCCAAATAGGAATGAGGGAGAATAGCGGAATTGAATGGAGCAATGCAATAGTTGCAAGGTCCGACATAAGTCCAGAAAGTCTGAACTCAGAAGTTAAACTCCGGAATATTGGCAAACATAATTAAATGGAATGAGCTAACCAATACAATGGGTATAAGCGGAGGTGGGGTCAAAGTCTGAGGTCGGAGCTAAGACCGGAGGTTCCGGAGACAGAGACGCGAACGGGATTCCGGAGCGAGGTCTGGAGTCGGGAGCATAGGTTTTGCGTACTCGTCTGGAAGGTGTCGAGGTTGGGGTCGGACCTGGAATGTTCCAGAGTCGGACCGAAGGTGGTGTCCAAGCCGGAGGTGGGATAACCTCTTGGGAGTCGGCAAGGAGAAGGTGACAGAAGGGAAGTAGGGCTCCGGAAGTCGGAGTTTGGAGTGCTGGGAGCCTGGAGCGGAGGTCGGAATTGTATGGATATGACAACGCTCCCCTGAGCGCCAAGTAACCGATAGTCAACCACTGGGCTACTCCCTCAAGGAGTGCCAACTACCCACACTACTGGTACGCTCACATGAGCGCCAAGTCACCGCTAGCCGACTGTTAGGTGGCTCCCTCAAGGAGCCCCCACTATACCTGCTGCCAGTACACTCCTCGGAGTGCCAAGTCACCGTTAGCAGACCACCACACCTGCTGCCAGTACGCTCCTCAGAGTGCCAAGTTACTGTTGGCCCACCTGGCCTTGGATCTCCTGCTCTCCCCTCAACAGCTATGCAGCCACCTCTGTCTGTGAGCAGAACGGTTCAGGTTGGGTTCCCTGGAACCCATTCCTGTAACATAAGTGGTTCTTCCAGGCAAGTTTTGAGTGGTTACATGCCTGTCTATGAAGTGTCATGAGGTGTCATGAGCCTTCATGGGGCTTCATAAAGGATCATGGACCCTCATGGACCCTCATGGACCTTCATGAATCATTAGGAGTCTTCCCAAGAATCATTGTGATTGATCATAAATTAGGATTCTTGATACAACAATGACAATTGGGGGCATAATGGTTAATTACATGTGTTAGCCTTAAGTTGAAAGTGATATGAAAGCATCATACAAGAAAACAATGGAATGGGACTGACAACCTAGGTGCCAATATAAAGTGGATCAAGTGCCAATATTGGTGTGTTAAGTGAATGAATAGATAAATGTATCAGGTAATTAGCAAGAAATGAATAGTGTGCTGCAAAGTGTCATGGCCCTGCCTAAGGTGCCCATCTGTTACCACTCTCCCACTTCCCCACCACCTATCTTGCCCTGTCAGTCCTCTCCATAATTCATCCCTCAGTGGTGCCAATAGTTGACCCTGTCCACAGTTCCACACCGGCACCTTCTCCCTTCCCATCACCACTCTAACTTTCCTGATCACTCAGCTACATGATATTCATTTATTGCCAAGCACCCACATGTCCTATTCCTGCCCATTTGCTTAACTTACTTTAGTGGCCAATATTGGCACCTTTGATCCATCCCTATATTGACACTTGATCTGCTACTATATTGGAACCCAGGTTGTCAGTTCTCTCAGGTTGCCTCCCTACTTTGCCTCTTTGTTTAATTGTTCATTCCACTCTCATTCATCTCTCACTCTCTGTCTCCCTGGTTCTCATCCCTCATTTAGTTTGTCACGTTCACCACTCTGCCTCCCATTCAGGTGCCAGACTGACTGGCCCCTCTTCTGTTTTCCCTTTCATGTTTATTGTCAGAGACCAGATCGAGATGAAGGAATGTCTCCATGACAGAGGGCTTCAGCCTCAGCGACTTATGCCAGGAGTGCTG